TTTGTCACTTGGGAGTATTCTGAGATTTAGCTTCATGTTTAAAAGGGAAAAAATTAAGATGGCTTAAGTTTCATCTTAAAAATTTTCATCCCCTGTAGTCATTCTGCATGTTGTAGTCTTAGTAGAACACAAGCTAAAACAGAAGAATTCCCCATGTGGCTTGTTTTCCAAAGTACCGAGAACAAAACCCTACTCTTCCCTAGGTCTTGTAACCCTTCAAGTCTGAATGGAAATATAGTGCTTGGTCATATTCTACTTTAAAAGGTAAATACAGATGAGATAAAAAAAAAAATAAAAGTCAGAGTAAGCAATTATGGTTATAATAAGCCAATGGAATTCTTTATTATTGAAGACATGATGTTTTTTAAAAAAAACATACTGCAAAATCTACCATGGTGTACATGAAATAATGTCTTAGGATTTCGTATTCACTCTCATATGATATCACTTTGAGTAAATTCCAAGTTTTCAAGCTACAGTCAGAATGCTTTATAATGCATTTTATAATATACTGTAACTTTGTCATGATGCTAGAGTTGTCTTTGGTAATTGGTACTGTAATACCTTCTTGAGGCCTGTAGTCTAAAATCAAGCAAACAAAGAATGTAGTCAGTCATTTCATAGAGGTTTGTGTGGATGTATTCTGTAACATTCAAAGCAAGGAAAAAAAAAAACCCTAAGATCTAAATACAGAACAAATCCTTATAATTCATTGACAAATGATTGTATGGATATATGTTTAATAAGATATACAAAGAAGAAAAACTGAGAGGATTTGTATTATTCTATATAAAACAATTAATTTGTAGCCATCACAAAGGTTTCTATGAACTCTATAATTTAGACAGTAATAATGAATGGGAAGAGAGTAATAATGAATGGAAGAGATCCTAACTCAGTCAAGTTGATTAATCAAGTTATTTTGCACAGAAAATAATAGGAATTTTCTAGTGTGCATATACATAGTTTAGATATATTTATATAAAGGTAACATGTATATTTTATGATCTATATGATCATCTACTCATTCAATATTATACACATAAGAAATTGAGTATATTTCTATTATAAACATTGTAAAAAACTGTTTAATATTGTTATTTAAATTGCTTTGAGCCTGTTCAGCCATATAATACATCTTTAAGGGGAGACTACACAAATTTCTATGACATTAAATGCATATATAGGTATATGATATTTAAATGCATATATAGTTATATGCATTTAAAATATCCAAGAATATCCAACATATCTGCAAGTGCCATGTTGAGTGGAAGACTTTCCTAGAACCAGGCATAATTTTCACATGCCTCTGCTAACCAGTGATCTCTGTGAGAGTTCAAGGGTAGCATGGGCTACAGAGTGAATCCCAGGATAGGCTTCAAAGCTACCCTGAGAAAACCTGTCTTTTATCTCCCCCTCCCAACCAAAAAAAGAAAAGAAAAGAAACAGCCATATATGAAAGCTAGAGACAGATTTTCAGCTTACCTTAGTTTTCTGATGGTAGTAAATTTAATGTCACCAATTTTCTGTTCTAGTTTCTTTATATATTTGTTCCATAAGCAGGAAATATAGCAGACTAAATTACGGTGATTCTATTTTATTCCTGTCTTTTAAGTCACCATATTGAATTTTACTTAATTTTAAGTACTGTTCTCAAACTCTATCATTCAAAAGTCTCAGTAATTTGATAAGCCTAAATCTATTAGCTAAATCGAGTTTCTTTTCAGACAATGTCATTTCAAATATCATATGTGAATCTAGCACTTAAAATAGTATAGAAAGGCAATTTATTCTTACCTAAGTCTGGTTTTTTTCTTGTAATCCTTTTGGGTTCCAAAAAGCAATGCAAATTAATTTTGTGATCATACTCTCTAATGTAGATCTATGGTTGCACAAAGATTAGTGGGAGAGAAAAATTATGTACTTATATAATAAACAAAAATAAAAACAATGTGAATTATTTATCTCCTAAAGTGATATGCAATGTATCATTACTTAAATTGTAAGCAAGTCATAATAAACATTATTGATTCATTTTTGCCCATATATAGTTCATGAACAGCTGAAATAAATACATTATTTTCTTTGAATTCTTGAATGCACTGGCCCTGTCACTTCCAGAAAACAGCATTTCACAGTACCCAGTCTATGAACTCTAACTGTTCTACCTGCTCTTCCTTAGTGTACTCTGACATTGGAAGAGCAGGGTGTGATATAGATGTTTCCTTTAGAGCTAGCACCCCACAATCATATTCTTGAGACTTTGACTTACACGTGATTAAACCATTCAGTACTCCAGCTTGGATAGGGGAGGGGCTCATGAGGCTGCACACCTAGCTGAGGAGTTATTGGCCGCTGACGGCTACTGGGTGAGGAAGATAAGTTAGTTATGACCAGGTACATGGCTTGTGGTGTGTAGCTTGATTGTGTTCATTTCTGTGGTGTTATACCCATGCACACATGTGCAATAACTAACTGGACTCTGTGGGTCTTTAGAGCGGACCAAATAAGAAGCAGGTGTGGTGGTGCACACCTTTAATCACGGCATGAGGGAGGAAGAGACAGGTGGGCCATTGAGTTTGAGATCAGCCTGGTCTAGACTGAGTTCCAGGACAGCCAGAGCTACATAGAGAAACCCTACCTTAAGAAAACAAACAAAATAAACAAATAAAAATTTTTAAATGAAATAAAATAAATAAATAAAAAGAGATGAGGACATGAAATGGGAGGGGCTCGGATAAGTTGAGAGGTATGTTACAAGCTTGGGTATTAGATGACTACATTATATAGATGGACAAAGTTCCTAAAGTATAAAATTATATATGCTGCTTTAAAAACCAAAGCAAATAGTTTTAGGAACACCTCTCAAATATGTAAGATGCTTTATAAGCAGCATTTCCTCACAGACACCAATTTGTATACACATATCAGCTAGTGACTTTTAGAAATGCATAATGTCAGCAATATTGTAACATGGAAGACAACCTGATGGTGAGGATTTATATTGTAAACATTTATTCTTCAAAAACCATTTTTTCAATGTCAGAGCAGCTAAAACAATGTATTTGACAGATGAGAAACTATCAAGTAAATATTGAGCCATGAAATTAGTATTACAATGAACTTCTCTGTGGAGTCTGATCCAAACTTTAGATGAAACACATCTTTTCATCAACTGATATAATTTGTCCTTGAGAGAATAAGGAAAAGTGATTTTGTTTACGTATTTAAAGTGAAAGGCTATGTATATTTTTTTTCTGATAGTGAAAGTTCATTCTGACTTGTCAAACTGAGGAAGCATCGATAACGAATGTGACTCTGCTAAACATTCTTAGAAGCTGACTCAGAAGAAAAAGTAGGCAGGGAATGCTAGGTTCTTTTCTCTAATTTCTACGAAAAATATTAACAAGAAAAATGAGTTGGAGAAGAAGCAGAGATGACGTATCTCACACTGAGTTTATTTTTTCTTTTTCTTATCAAATGGTGCCAACTCAAGCATTTCCTATGTCCTAACTACCAAATTTAGGATTGTGTGATATTAACATTCAGCTTGACCACTCATGGGTGTAAATCTTAAGCCAGATAAGCACTAGTTAATGTGGCTTCCTTTGCCTTATATTCCTTACTCTGTATTTATTCCACTAACTTCAAATGTAATATTTTACAGTGACTAATACTATATCTCACCGGTCTGACATTTCCTTTATTCTTCCATTTCTGATTGTTCAACCACTGACATTCTGTGGGGAAGGTGACACATAGATGTTTAAGCAGAGCATAAAAATGGAGACCTGTTATCTAAGCAGTCTCAGTGATCACAACAAATAAAACATACTGCAAAAATAGATAACGTGTTTAGTTTAATAGAAGCTCAGATCCTAATTCCCCAATGACCTTCTCAGCTGAAAGGATTACCTTGGGAGTAAATACTTTAAGACAACACTTTCTTATAGACAGTGGTTATACAAAAGCAACAAAATTTTATTTAATATTCTTTAAATAATGTATTTGATTAAAACCTGGAGGCTTATGAGTAAGTAAACAATAAAAATTAAATTCATTTTGATTTACATGCTTAACTATCATTTTTTATTCTTGTCACACATAAATAGCTTTCAAGCTCTTTTGAATTTCTTCCTATAATTCAAGAAACTGTGAAACATAACGTACTTAGTACTATAAATTCATCAGAAACACTAAAAGACAATGTTTTGTCCAATGTGTCACTTGACTTTAAATAACAGTATGGTGATTTTTAGTTAAAAGGCATTATATTCTTGACACAAAGAAAGGTAGTATTAAGCATGCTAATAAATAATAAATAAATAATAAAGAAGAAAAGAAACAAATAAAATAGTAGCAATATTTGTTAAGTTTGCTAGGGGAATCATTTATCAGTTCTATGCATTACAAAATATCACCTATACTTTTAAACAATAATAAATAATGCTTGCTAATTTGAAATATTGACTTTCTGTTATATGTTTCAGTGTAATGTATCTGCTAGCCTCTGAAATGTTCTATAATTGTGCATAAACTACAAATATGTTCAATTTGCTAAATCTTAACCGCAAAAGTATGGTAATAAATGTAAAGTATTGTATTTTGTTTGTTTTATTTATTTTTATTCCTGAGAATATGTACCTGTGCTCGTGTGTGCGTATGTGGGTGTGTGTGTGCAAGTGTCTGTGCTGTGGGTGGTTATTTTCATGTGGAACTGTAGCTGTGGTAGTTAGAAGAGGACTAGAACATTTGCAGCTGGTGTACAGACAGCTGTGAGCCAGTCGACTTGGGTGGTAGGATCTGAATTCAGTCTTCTGGAAAAACAAGAAGTACTCTTAACCTATCAGCCCTCTCTACAGCCCCCTATAAAAATATTTTAATGCATGTACTGCATAGCCAATCACGAACAAGGGTGATAGACTTAGCACACTTTCAAAGAAATTTATAGATTTTTGTGCAAATTTTATATTTAAAAAAAATCAGACGGTTCCAATTGGTTACTAAATTGACCATACAGCATGCATGTAATTTATCCAATATGTCGACAACTACCGATTTGCATTTATTTGATTTTGTACTGCCCCAAGGGTAAGAGGAATAAAGTTATACACACACACACACACACACACACACACACACACACACACACACACACACACTTTTCTGTCATCCATTAAACTATTGAAAGAGATGTGGATATCTTTATACATGGGTATTTTAACAATGCTAACTGAACACTTATCATCACTTTAATTGTTTGGTATTCTTTTACTTTGCTTTTTCAAACTTATTAAAAAAAGTCTATCAGTTAATGGATGCCAAAGGAAAGTTCTGGTATCTGCACAACAACATTTATTTTGACTGCAGCTCAACCACTAACTGCACAATTTTGTGAGACTGTTTATATATGGTGTGAGTGTTGCTTTCCCCTAAAGGATTTTGCAATGATTCAGTGGATTTATAGCACAGATAATAAGACATTGGGAAGGTATAAAATCATCAAATGTTATAGAGAAGGAAAAGAGCTCACCCTACATTCAGGAGTAACCCTCAGGTAGTGAGATCTTGCCTCAGATACCATCCTGTATTGCCTGTGACTCACATGGGCTGGAAAATTTCCAGAGCTTACTAAGAAGCTCTCTCCTGCCAGTATACATATTAAATTGCACTTCTGCCTCCCACCCAGAACTTTGATAATACAGATACATTTGATATATTATAATACTTTTTGGCCATTTACTTTTGCATGCTTTTCTAATAACTATGCCATTTTTAAAAATAAAAGCACTCATATATCATTCAAAAACATCAGTGATCTCTTTTTTTTTTTCAGTAGAAATGTATCATTAAACAGATTTTAGAGTGGATAGCAGGCCGAAAATCGCTTCAATTTTATAATCTTTCCACATTGGTTGTCAGAAATACTAGAAAATGGAAACACTTAGATGTCTATTAAATGAAACATCACTGTGTTATAATATAGTTTCATCTTTTAAAAGTTTCCATATCCATTAGGAAAGAAAATGGGTTGGTTGACATTGTGAATAGGGAACAATAAGATCTGGCTATCAGGAATAGTGTTTTGTTTCAAGATCTTAATTTCAATTAAAAAAAGGCATTTTAGAATAGAACAGCACAATATATTTTACCATACTCAGAATTCATATGTTTTGTTTCTGGGAAACCATGAAAAGAAAAGGGCAACAGTGCACATCAATCCACAGGGAGTCATAAGTTACAGCTTGTACACAGAATTATGGCTTGTCAATACAGGATTCTTTATGGTGCTCTATAAACTGGATTTTCTCACTTTGGGCCTTAGATTCTGATATATTGAAGAAACTTCTTAAATAAAATTTAAACTAATAACTGAACAGCAGCTGAAAGATTTTGATATCTAAAATTTTTAAAAATATGTGAGACCACTATAAATTAAGAATGGTGTACATTTTCTATGTTTAACCATGAATCAAATACAATTGCTCTGTTACAATGATTGACTTTCATTTCTCTTATGTGTCAGTCAGAAACTATACTCTGTTGGCTAAGAATGGAAAAGGCAAAATAATAGACTAAACTATTGTATATACACACTGCAAAGAAAACATCAGTGTGTTCTGTCTCCTTTTTGTATATTAGTATATCTATTACATAGTTTCTTTTGTTCCACCATAAGCTTTAAATCCTCAAGTGAGTACTATAGAATTCTTTCCTTTCTTACAAAACAGTCACAAAATGTTTTCAGCTAACGTTCATGAATAAAAAGAATACCCAGGGTCTTCTCCCCATGATTTTACCTATCATTAAAAGAACTGTGACACTATTGATTGAAGAACTTGATATAAAAATTGTTGTTTTATAAGAAACTTTGTTCCAGAAGTTAAGAAACATCTGGAATTATTAAATTTCATGGTAACTTTAGCATATCATCATCAAACTCCTGTTTTCTAATGTTTTAAATCTCAAAAGAACATTTTTTCTTAAATGCCTAATGACAAAAGAATATACTTTTAAAATTTACACTCTGTTTTATTAACATTTATTAATATTCTTACTTATCAACACTATGTGTCATTACATTATGAATTCACTTGTCCTTAAAGCTTTTTAATCTAGGAGAAGTAATGCATGCTCATGGAATTTTGTTTGGCTTGATCTTGTGCAAGTCTTGTGCATGCAACATTAGCTAAATGTGAGCTCATGTATACAAAATAGTCACACCAGGTTCAGAAAACACTTTTTTGTTTTAGTCACCTTCTACCATTGACTATTAAAATATTTCCACTCTCTTTTCTGCAATGATCATTGAGCCTTAAGAAAGAATGTTGTTGTGATGTAAATGTCCTATTTAGAAATGTGCTCTTCACAGTTTCTTATTCTCTACACAATGAGCAGCTGTGGGACTCTGTATTGTCATCTACTATAAAAAGAAATTTCTGGGATGTGGGTTAAGTAAATGTTAAAAAGACAAAAATTTAGGGAGCAATTTAACGTATAAATATATAAATGTAAACTGCTGAGCCTATTTATTTTTTTCTGTATGTATATTACTTTAGGGCTGACCACATGGTACTAGATAATTAATTAGGGTTTTTATCCTTGGGGGTGGGAGCTTATTTTCAATCTCTCATCAATCACTAATTGCCTGTATTTTCTTATCCAAGGCTGGTGTCCTTCTGAGATACACTCCACCCATGTTGGCATGTCAATTGGTGTTGTTACTATTCAGGACTCATTTAGGAATCCAGATTATTGATATTTCATGAGTGTGGCTAATATAAAGAAAATATCAGACAACAACTGCTGGTGAGGATGTGAAGAAAGGCTAACCTTCACTCTTAGTGGAACTGTAAACTTGTACAGCCACTTTGGAAATCAATATGAATAATTTTCCAAAAGCTAAAACTACACTTACCATATGGCTGAGATATATTACTCCTTCTCATATGTCCAAAATATCATATCCCACAGATATTTGCTAACCCATGTTTATTACTGATCTATTCACAGCTAGATAATGAAAACAAGCTAACTGTTCTTCAACTAATGGACAGCTAATGAAAATGTACATAAACAATGGTCTCCTCTTCAGTTGTGGGAATAAATGAAATTTGTAGGGAAATGTAGGAAAATAGAAAATATTCAGGGTGAGATAGCACGGAATGAGAAAGATAATGCTGCACATTTCCCCTTACTTGTAGATTAGGTACAGCAAAAGGCACCATCATTTGAGTGAAGAGATGCCCTGCAGTGTGGTGATATTGTGTTCCCCAAAATATTGTACACCCTAATAAACTTATCTGGGGTCAGAGAACAGAACAGCCACTAGATATAGAGGCCAGAAAATGGTGGCACACATGCCTTTAATCCTAGCATTCCATCTGGATCTCTGTGAGTTCAAGGTCACACTGAAAACAGCCAGGCATGGTGACTCACACCTTTAATCCCAGAAAAAATGGCTGGAAGCAGAAAGATTTTTAAGGCACGAGGACCAGGAACTAGGCTGGTTAAGCTTTTAGGATTTTAAGCAACAGTTCAGCTGAGATTCATTCTGGATGAGGACTGAGAAGCTTCCAGTCTGAAGAAACAGGATCAGCTGAGGAATTGGCAAGGTGAGGTGGCTGTGGCTTGTTCTGCCTCTCTGATCTTCCAGCATTCACCCCAATAACTGTCCTCAGGTTTGTTTTTATTAAAAAGACCTGTTAATATTTGAATTACACTGCAGAAAGGGGAAACACCTTCACTAGCTTTATATCTGACAGAGGGTTTGTATATAGATTACACAGAGAACTAATTAAAGCTAAGCATCAGAAAAAAATGTCATGGCATGTGAAAGAATCCAAGCAGAATCATACTTATTACCACGCATAAAACTCAACTCCAAATAGAAAAAAACCTCACCATAAAACATTGAACATGAAAGAAGAGGAACTAGGAATAGTCTTAAATTCACTGGCATGGGAGAAGACTTTCTTATCAGAACACTGTTAGCACAGAAACTAAAAGTAACAATTAACAAATAGGACCTCATGAAGCGGAGAAGCTTCTGTATGGTAAAGGGAATCATCATTTGAACAAAGTGGCAGACTACAGAATGGAAAGGTCTTTAGCTACTACACATCTAATAGAGGAATAATACATAAAATACATAAAGAACACAGGAAACTAGATATCAAGAAAACAAAGGACCCAGTTAAAAATGGGGTACAGATCTAAACTGAATTGTCAGTAGAGGGATGTCAAAAGAATGAGAAACATTTAAATAAATGTTCCATCAGGAAGCTGGGAGGAACCACCACACTTATTTTTGTAGTGACTATACAAGTTTTCACTCCCACCAATGGATGAATGTTCCCCTTTCTTCATATCCTCCCCAGAGGGGGAAAAAAGTGTATTTACACAACAGAGTATTACTGTCTTTTTTCTCCAACATGAAATTTTCAAGCAAATTAATTTCAAAAATTTAATCATTGCCTTATTCAGCCATTATCAGAGATGTTTCCTCTTGTAGCAGATGGGAACAACTATAGAGACACACAGGGAGACATTTCATACAGAGACAGAGAGGTGGATGAGGGAAAGAGAGAGGGAGCCCTAGAGACCATGAATAAGACAACCTGAAGGAGACATCTCTACCAAATCACTCTACACCCCAGAGCTCAGAGACTCTCAATGAAGAAGAGGTGGGAAGAATGTATGTAGTATCAAAGGGGACAGAAGACACACACACACACACACACACATACACACACACACACACACACACACACACACACACGCACGCACGCACACAAAATAAGGTGCTCTAAATAAACTCGAGCAAAGCCCATATGAACTCAGAGTGACTGAAGCAATATCCAAGGGGACTAGACAGTTTGTACTATATCCTCTGTGTATGCATCAAGGCTTCCATATGGGTGAATTTATGAGGTTCCTTATTGTGTGGAAGGGGGTGGGCTCTGCCTCTTTTGCCTCTTCTCGGCCTCTCTTTCTTGTGTGCATTTGTTGTTTCCAGCTTCAAAGTGATCCTATTTTTTCCTGTTATTTGTATTTATAGTTTAAATATTGTCTCTCTTAGAAGCCTTTTCCTTGTAATGAGAAACAGAAAAAGAGTGGATCTGGTTGGGGAGGGAGGTCAGGAGGCAAGGGGAGGAGTAGATGGAGGGGAAACTGTAATCAGGAGATATTGTGTGGAAAATAATCTATTTTCAATAAAAGGAAAAAATGTTAAAAAATTGTGATGTGAAACTAATATAAGGACTCCAAAAATGAGAAATAAAAATGGCTGAGAAATACATTTTCTCATGCACAACATCCTAAGCAACCAGCAAAATACAAACCATAACTGCTCAACTGCTTTACATTTTTTATTACTGAAGAAAACTACAAACTTATGTTTTAATATAGATTTAACAATGCAAAAGTGAAAAGAAGTAAGTATAATCTACATATATAAAATGGATTTGGGACATAAAATATGTTAGTGCCTGGGAATATTCTTGTCTTTCATTAAGAATTACATATCTCCTGCTTCTCTAATTATCAGAGAACATTTATTTAAATGACAGAGATTTATTTAAAAGTCATGGGCTGAAACTCTTAGGATTTGTAACAGTTAACAAGTTGTTCACAGAAAGTCAAATCCAACAGTATTACTCATAGGCTTTTTCAAATAGAATAAAACTTATTAATTTTAAATTCTATTGTGAAAAAATTAAATACTTCGAAAGCTATAGAATGAATAGGATAGAAAATCAGAAATTCCTATTCAATGGTAATAAAAATGTCCAGTTAAGGACAATTTGTTTCTCTCAATAATCTCTGGAGTTAGCTTGAGATAAATCATCAATGAACTAAGTAAGCTACAAGTGCTCTACTAATGCAACTACATTGAATCAATGACTAAAAAGAGTTCCAGTTATATTTCATATGTATGTATATATATGTATATAATTTTTTTCACAAAGATAAATACATATATACACATGTAGCATCTTCAAAATATAGTTTCTCTTCCTTAAAGTATTAAATGAAAATAATTAATGTATCATCAATTTGTTATCACTCATAAATATCAATTTTATCTCAGCTACGTAGTAACATGATTAGTTGATTGTTGTGGAATATTTGTTTAACTATGCAAAGATGTGTTTTCATTTGCTTAATTATGTAAAGGTGTGCTGCTGTTTAACCTTGCTGCCTAAGGCACATGATTAGTCTAATAAAAACCTGAACAGCCAATAGAAAGAGAGGGGGTATAGGCAGAACTTCCAGAGAGGGAGAAAAAGTAGGAGAAGGAATTTAGGCTTGAGGGGAGAGAAAGAAAAGAGATGAAATGGAGATGCCAGGGGCCAGGCAGCCAGACACAGCGGAAGAATGAAAGTAGGACATAAAGAATGAAAGAAAGGTAAAAAGCCGTGACACAAATTGTAGATGAATATAAACAGGTTAAATTAAATTAAAAGAGCTAGTGGGACAAGCCCAAGCTAAGGCTGAGTGTTCATAATTAATTAATAATAATTCTACATATCTTTACTTGAGAGTAGGTTGATGTCCCAAAGAAAATTCTAGTTAGAGTTGAAAAATAATTTATTGTAACTCTTCCTATCCTGGAGATTTCATTATACAAAGGTAGGAATAAGAGGAAATGAAAAAGCAGTGATGATAAATCATGTATAAAATATCCACAGGGGCATTTATGAAGACTAAGGCAGGAAGAATTAAATATAAAATTCCCAACTCATTTTTTCCTCAAATCTTTTTATTCTGCATGAAAATTACTGCCTCATGGAATAACTGCACATATCCATACCCATTTTTGGAGGTGCTACATGTCTACAAATTTCATACAGATTTTCAAATGAGTAATTCAATAATTTTGAACATAGTCTTTCACTATGAACTTTATTTTGTTGACACTTACAAACTAGAGTCTCTATTAACATAAGAAATATTTTTATAAATTACAAATCAATCAACCAGAAAACACAAAATACACCAGTATACCTGTTTCTGGGCTGATAGCCATACAGCACTGGCATTTTCTGCATCCTGTTTATTAGAATAATACTCTCTTGAAAATCTAGGTGTCATTCTATGAAGAACTTTTAACAGCAACTTAAAGAAGTGTGAAAGGATCGCTAAGAACTACGTCCAGAAGTAGTCGCAGGTGCAGTTGAGTATCAACACCTATTTATGTGGCATGTGAAGGAACCATCTCAAAAAGTCTTCAGGACAAATGGACAGTCTGTATTCCAATCTGTGTAAAACAGAGAGGCCAATTATCTTAAATTGTGGTTTCGGGAATTAAATAATTTAGTCTTTGTTGTGTTTTAAGCAAAAGAGTCTTACTGTTAGTCAGCACTAGATTGTCTAAGATGGATGTATTTCGATGTAAATTTCTTTAGATAGTTGGGTATCTTGGGGTGACAGAGCTAATTTTGAAGTACAATCTACTTTCAGACAACTAGTGGTCACTAGAAGACCAAAGTATGCGTTGAATGATACTGGCCTTCTTGTCCACATAAACTACTCTTCAAAAGCAAAAACCCTGTGCACACTGCTTTCCTCGAGTTTAGAAAATCTCATAGTGTGTATCTAATATATTTCCAGTCTTATGTGATCTGGTGTCAAGCTCTACTCTGCAGAGAATATAAAGCTTTTGAAAATAAGAACCATGGTTTTATCCCTTAAAGGATAATATTTGTCACATAATCAATGTTTATTTTTGAATGAATGAATGATTTAGCACTCACTTGCTTATGGGACTTGTTCAGTGAGTGTTTATAGCTTTCTTACTACTTAGATATAGCATAGTGTCATAAGTTTATGAACTCTAATCTATCTTTTTGAAAATACACTTACTCTCAAGTAGATTATAATGAAAATGATCCATTTTCAGTATAACAGTGAAATACAAAGCAGTAGGCTACCAGTAGGACACTGTTTCCTTACCTCTGTAAAATAATACAAATCAATCCTATTATCCTGTTTTATAAGTGAAGCCGCATTCTCAAGAGGTTGAGGACAGATAAGAGTCTGCAGCTTCTCTATCTAGCATCTGCCACTTAACTGCCAATAACTAGGAACTGACAGCTTGAAATAAACCTGGGAATATCAAGAAGACTCCAGTCAGGAGGTGAGAGGCAATATTGTCATTTGTAAAAGATCTAATATGAATAATTTTAACCAAGTGAAGTGAATTGTAGTGAAGGTAAAGGAAACTCTAAGCTAGAAATTATAAAGCATAACTGCCACCATTATTGTGAAAGGAATTAATTGCTTGACCTGGCATCTTGGAAGAACTCGAAGTTTCGTCTTTTGTGAATTGGAATGAAGGAGCTTATTTGGTGACTATAGAAAGAACTGACACTTAAAATCTACCTATAAATGAAGGAAACAACTGCCATACTCAGGAAGAAGACTCTGTCAAGCTCTTCTTATTCCTGTGGTATCTGATGTATCTTTTAATACCACTTCTTATCCAGGGACAGAACAAAGCTGTTGGAAAAGCAGAAATATGTTTTCTAGCATCCCATCTTTCCCCTTTCATGGCACCGTACTGATCCAGTTTATGTGAACATTTTACATCTACGTGGACAGTCGTCCACCCAAAAGCTAAAGGCCAGCTTTAAAAAAAAAAAGCAAACAACAATATCAAAATAAGAAGCCCTCTTTTTTTTTTTTTTTTTTTTGGTTTTTCGAGACAGGGTTTCTCTGTGTAGCTTTGCGCCTTTCCTGGAGCTCACTTGGTAGCCCAGGCTGGCCTCGAACTCACAGAGATCCGCCTGGCTCTGCCTCCCGAGTGCTGGGATTAAAGGCGTGCGCCACCAACGCCCGGCTGAAGCCCTCTTTTGAGTTCTTGGCTAGTGTCATATGAGCAACTCACAGGCATGCAACCCAGCGCTCTTGCCTTTACTTATTTCCAGGAAGTGAAAATTAAATCACTAATACTGAAGACAGGATGTACTGCAGAAATAGGATGCAGAGACCCTGAGCTGGAACTGACCTGAATGCCACTTCCCTGAGAACTACCCTTTAACCAGAGGGCACCAAGCAAGCTTTCAGACGAGGTAGGCATCCAACAGTGCTACATATTTATGACATCCATGAATCACGTCAATGATAGCATGGCATGATGAACCTAATGGTGCAGTAATGGCATACCTTGGAGAAAACCCGCAGCTCTCTAACTGGACTTAGGACCTGCTCATTGCCTGGGACCAGCAACCTAGCCTGAGAATGGTCCAGTTGTTAGCTGGACAAATCCACAATCTGCATGTCACCCTTATCTGTCTGGGTTCTGTTACACTATCAATAACGGACTCTTTCCCGGGTTTCTCTTAGATATCTTGTTGTCCTGTGTTGTAAAGATCCTGCAGGTGGGATTTCTAGGATTGTCCTCTTCACATGCTCCAGCAGTTCATGGATGAGGTGGCTGCTGTTGGGGTGGACCAACACACAGCCCTGGTTCTGGGCCTGGGTGGTAGCTGGGTTTGTCCACCCACCAACTTTCCTTCACCAGCACTACCCAGGCAAGCGCTCTAGCCCTTGGCTAGCTCACTCAATGCAGCCTGCAGCAAAAGATGGGGGCAGTTATTTTGTTCTCAGGTCCTAAGATGGCTCAACCTCAGTCATATCATCAGGGCCAGCTCTACTGTTTTTGCCCAGGCAAGTCCAGGGCCCTCTCTCATTTGCTGTATGGGCATAAAATGTGGCGGGCAGGGTCAAGCTCTCATGTTGTCATGACCTGAGGGCTGGCTCACCTACACCTATGACATCAGGGTCAGCTCTAATGTGTTGTCTAGGCAGGGTGCAGGGTCCACTATCCTGTGTGCTGCAGCTAGTGAGGGGCCCGGCTAATTAGTTCACTGTCATGACCCGAGGGCCAGCTCTCTTGCTTGCTGCAGGTAGCAAGGGATGGAGGGGTTAGGGCATCTTTCCCTCACCTGGCAGACGAAGGGAGGGAGGGAGTCAGTTCTGCTGCTCTCATGCCCGCCGGGCCTGCTGCCTGAAATCCCTGACAACAGGGTCAGCTCTAGTGTGCTGCCAAGATGGTGTGCAGAACCTACTCTCTTGTGTGCGGCAGCCAGTGAGGGGCAGAGAGTTCTCCTGATCAGAGGTCATTTCTCTCACCTGCTGCGGATGGTAATAGATGAGTAGGGAACGACATCTTTCTCTCACCATGCTACCACATGGCAGATGAGGGGGTAGTAGGGTCAGCTCTCCTGCTCTCCTGCTCTCCTGCTCTCATGCCCTCAGAGTCGGCTCACCTATGTGGTGGTATTCTAATTGTATTGAAATGTGATTTTAATTGTATGTTAATAAATAAAGTTGCCTGGGGGTCAGAGCTATTAGAGGCATAGACAGAGCATGGTGGTGTGGTGGTGGTTGTGGTGGTGGTGGTGGTGGTGGTGATGGTGGTGGCACATGCCTTTAATCCCATAGATCTGTGTGTGTTCAGGGATACAGCCAGCATTGGAGACATACGCCTTTAAGACCTAGAGGGCTGTACATACAGACAGTGACGAGGCAGTCACGTGTTTGGGTTTACAACCAATGAGAAGGCAGAACAAAATACTATGAAAAGACAGACACACAGGAAATAGCTCTTTTTCGGGAAGCTAGGACTCTGCAGGAGGAAGGGTAAGATTTTAGCTCTGAGCTCTGATCTCTTGGCTTTCTCTTTTACATTGGTTCTGTGTTTCTTATTTAATAAGATGGTTGGTTACATCTACACACCTATGCTCCCAACAACAGAATCAGCTCTAGTGTGATGCCCATTGAGTTGTATGAATATTATTAGGGGTGGGGCCATCTTTCCTGAGTACAGACATGGTCCTCAGCAGCAGCCCAGTCACGGATATCCCCCGACCACAGGTAAGCAGCTGTGGAAACTAAAATCAGCATGGTTTCTATGGCAGCATGGCTCTCAGACACAATCACGGCCCCAGGTGACATCACAAACAATAGGGTTTGCATGGTCCTCAGTGGCAACAGGAGGTGTAGACATCAACACAGGCTGCTCAGCTACTTCAGGGCCTTGGACCAAAACTTGGTTCTTGGCAATAGCCCAGGCTCGGACATCACCTTGGACTCGGGTGGCAGGGATGCCATTCATGACAGCCTGTTCCTCACCACCCTTACCTCTTCAGATCTGTCTCTCTCCCCAGCCTGTAGACTGTTCTGCCTGTCTCACTCTCTTCCTTTCACCCACTCTCCTTGCTCACTGGTATGGTTCACTGATGCCTGGCAGGCTCCTTGTTGAGTCACAGGTGGCACTCAGTTGAGTCCTGCCCACCCCAGCTGCAAGGCATGTCATAGAGATGTTGCTTTTCATCTCTCACATGCCTGGGCCTAGAAACCATAGGCTTGGTATGATGATGGCTTCTGGTTTGTTGTGTGCCCCCAACTGCACCCCAAACCAGGGGGCCTGGGAGGGGGAAGCCATCTGTGTCCTGTGACATTCAGGCTTAGAATGTGTCAAGCCACTCCTAGTTGATTGTGCCTCCCCAGATCCCCTTGTTTGCCTTGTTTGGATGGAAACCGTCTTTGTCCTCTGCAACTTAGGTTTGGGAAGTGCCAAGTAGCCTCAATTTCAAGCTTCTATTTTTTTCCCCCAGAAATTGTGTGTGTGTGTGTGTGTGTGTGTGTGTGTGTGTGTGTGTGTGTGTGTGTTCCTGTCCATCCTGGAATTCTCCCTGTAGATCAGACCATCCTAGAATTCAGAGATTTGCCTGCCTCTGCCTCAACAGTGCTGGGATTAAAGGCATATACAACCACCACCTGGTTCAAGCTTCTAATTTTAATTTAAGGATTTTATCCAGTTATGCAATGAAGAAGCCTTGAGTTTGTATCAATTTGTCTTTTTGAAGTTTTTATTTTGAAAAACAAAACAAAACAAAAAAACAGATACCAGAGACTAAGGAATGCTGAGAGCAGGCGTCTTCCCCAAGGGAGAGAACAGCAATTGGTTAGCCAATATCACATGGTGAGCCCTGCAAACAAACTCAAAAAGTAATATACAGATTGGTCAGACAACAATTTTGCATTTAAGAACATATAGGTATGTAACAACAATTAATGAGAAAAGAGGCCATGAATTTAATAAAAATATAAGGAGTGGTATTTGGGAGAATTCAGAGGAAGTAAAGGAGAATGTAAATGGTGTAATTACAATCTTAAAAAATAAAAGAACATTTTAAGGTATAGAGAAAAGTACCTACTTAGCCACAGGAAGTACCACTGCTTGCTTATTTTAATTACACATTAAAGTTTGCAATATTTGAGAAATGTATAATTCTAAAATGTTAGTTACTCCAATGATGAGAATCGGGGAGAACTATGAAGGGGCTCTGATTTTGAAGATTAACGTGTGTGTGTGTGTGTGTGTGTGTGTGTGTGTGTGTGTGTGTGTGTTCTAGTGTGCACACACATTTGTATGTATGTTTATGTGTTTGCCTGCGGGTGTACATTCATGTTCTCATGTGCCCATGTAAAGTGACCAGCTATCCATCTAAGTTAGTCTTTCTCTGTAGTTAGCCTTCAAAGATTTGACAGTGGTTCTTTTTGATCTGGAATTTATGGAGTAGTCAAGTATGGCTGACCACTGAGTACCAGAGAGCCACATACCACTGCCTTCCCAGATCTAGGATTATATGTCTGTATAAAAATGTCTGGTACTTTATGTGGGGTTTGCTGATTGAACTCAGACCTCTAAGTCCGCATGGCAAGCACTTTACCAACTAAGGTATCTAATCTGTCCATCAAGATAAATCTTTAATAGTGACACAGTCCTCATTGTTTAAATAAAAAGGAGGGGAAACAAAGGAAAAGAAAAAGAAATGAAAGTGAAGCAGAGAAAAGGGTGTAAGAATAGATATAGGATGGGTTAAGTGTATAAGAATATTAATAAATTAAAGTTCAGTAATGTCTGGGGTTGTACAGGCTGCATGTCTGAAAAGAAACTCTAAAATGACAGAAAAAATGATTAGTGGAGGTTGATGTATTTTGTATAACTGAATTTTATAATGATTTTAATCAGGGTATAATTTCTTGTGCATGAAGCCATTCTGATATTTTAAAGAGCTTTACATAAGTATTTCTATTTTTCCAGATTCTAAAATTTCACAAAAGCCTAGATTTTGCCACTTTTAAAATACTCAGCACGTTGTAAATTAATGCATCATTTTCTTGTTAAAATCAGCCTTGCATAAAATGATCTGTAGCTGAGCAGGAGCAATAGCAAAGGTGTGAACCACTCCAGGGAAGTGCTAACTTCAGAGCCCAAACTAGAACATTTAAAGCCGAAAATTTCAGCAACAGCAAACAGATGTTTCTGCAAAATATCATTTTTTCCTGCCTGTTTACCAAACTCCTTTTCCTACACACATTTTTCTCTTCTCTCCATAACTTGGACTTTCCTGCCACTTTACCAATTTTCAGTGCCCACTCATCCTTGAAAGGCTTCATTTCTACTTCTCCATTTTACCTCCTCTCCGGTAATTGCCATGGAAGATGGGTATGTGGTTCTGTCCTAAAAAAAAAATGAATTCAATATTAGTGACACTCACTGGGCTGATGACATGGCGAATTGAAGGCCTTTGTTTAATCACAATAACCTAAACACCAAACAGTGTACAAAACACCAAAGAGTACTTCACAGTTGGTTGAATAGCTATTCAGTTCTATCCTCAGAGAAAGAATAAAGATTAACTTTTTGGCTTAAAGGACAATTAGTATTAATTTTTAAGATGACTACATGAAATAGATATTTACTTGAAAAGACATATTGTATTGATGATACCAATCAAATAGCCATTAGGCACTATTGAATCTGGATGGCTCACTAAGGCAGACACCTGCCTACTAATTGTAAGTCCCAATTAAGTCTGTGATTGCATAGACATTAACTCTCAAAAAGAGGATAAACACATATTTCAAAGGCAACTTTAATAGTTGCAGTGTGTCATTAGCAAATTCCCTATTCCATGGGACACAAAAATTTCTAGTAATGTGTCTTCTTAAACACAAAGCTGTCCTTCCCTGTCTTTAAAAGTTTAACTGGTATAGATGACGTGTTAACTCTAGAATGGGATTCTTAATGGCAGAAACATCCTTTCATCCTAACAAATATCTGATCATGGTGGCTTCAAGGAAGAATACAACCAAAAATATGTAGCCCTCTATGATATTCTAAGAATAATGTATCTTAAAAGTGAACAAAACCCATGAACTTCATCATTTCCTGAATTACTCAGAGACTCCCTTTTGTGATAATAAGCTAAGGAAGTGAGCCATTTACAGAAACTCTGTATTCTTTTAATGGCCAGGAGTTTGGGTTGCAAAGTAAAAATCCTATGGAAAATTAGAAAAATCTAGAGTCATAATCAGGGCATACTTAAATGAATATGAGCCCTCATGAAGAGTTAGGACCTTTCTAAAATGCAAAGAAGCATATAACTTTATGTTATATTTAGAACTTAAATAGTTCATGCCTTAACATGTTTTGCTCACTGAGATTACTGTTTAAACATAAATGTGAGAGGATACAAACAATGTTATTTTGGTCACGGCCTGTCTTGGTTGTGGCTCTATTGCTGCACTGAAACTCCATGACCAAGGCAACTTATAAAAGGAACCATTTACCTGGAGGACTGCTTGTACTTTCAGAGAGTTAGTCCAACATCATGGTGGGAAGGGAAGCAGCAGACAAGCAGGCATGGTGCTAGAGCTGAAGCCCAGAGCTCCTATCTGATCTGAATCTTGTAGGCGGAGGTGGGGGGTGGGGGTGGGGGTAGAAGACTGGACCTGTCATGGGCCTTTGAAACTTCAAAGGCTGCTCCTACTGACACATCTCCTCTGACAAGGCCATAACCACCCTAGCAATGCCACACATACTGCAACAAGGCCACACCTTCTAGTCTGTCACAAACAGTTCCACTAGCTGAGGAGCAAACATTGAAATATGATGACTGTCTGGAGGGCATTCTCATTCAAACCAGCACACTAGCTAATAGAGTATCATGGACTGGTTAAGGAAAACATACAAGATGCAGTCAGACGAAACAGATTGCTAGATCTTTACCTTTAACAAAGAGGACTAGAGAAAGAAAGAGAATCCTTATCTCCTCCTAACTTGTTTGGTGGACTAACTAGATTATCAGTGAATTACCAGATAAAAATGTAAGGATAGTGACAAAGGATTTGTAGCTAGTCATTCTTATAACCTCTTAGCATAGATATCAATCTGCAAAGAAAACTTTTCTTGTTGTTAATCAGCAGTCCATTGCTCCACTTCAGTAAATTTAAAACAGAATTTTGAATATCAGTAGAAAGTTTTGGAGAAAAGATCCTTCCCAAATGAGCTCATATTATCACAAAGTTTACAATCTGGCTCAAACTATTAATAACCTCTATTGAGTATGAATTGTAATTATCAGATATTATGAATATCCTTTTAATTCATACTATTTTGACTGCCTAAATCACATCTTATTGATGAGTGCCAAGTTTATGCATATGAAGGCTTGATTTCATCTCTTCTAAAAGTTAAATTTAGAAGATTATTTTTTAATTTTGGTCAGAACGCAATGACAACATCATTAATAACATGTTGCTAATAATGCTGAGCTAAGAACTTGCTACTGTGGGTATTAAATCATAAAAGCAGTTGATCATGTGTTATTTTAATTTTAGTGGTGAGACAACCGATCCTCAGAATTTTTAAAACACACCCAAGATCATAAAGTTAGGATGTGGTCAAGATTCAGTTTTTCATGATTTCAGAATCTCAGTCTTTAAACTACCAGCATTTCTTCTGTATGATAATTAATATGTGTGGTACTCCTTTACTACCTTCAAGCAAAGATATTTAAAAATAGAACAGACTGGAGTGATATAAATGACACAAATACTTTCTTGTACAAGGACACCAAGGTAGATAAATTATCCCTGAACCTTCTTTCTGGCTTTGCAATGGTGAAGATGAAATGAAAGAGTCATTTTCATACAAAGAAGACATTTTCACAGTGTTATTAGATCAGAAAGGTGCTGCAGTCACTAGTTACAGAAGACTGTTAAAAACACGATTGATTTTTATCAATCTGATATTACTCAAAGGAAATCACCATTGCTTAACAGAGAAGAATGAGCTAAATTGCCTTTGAGTTGACTTCATCTATATAAATACCAACTTCAAATTTTAACGACTGTTCTTGCAGAAGATACATACAGTGAACATTAAAGTAAAATA